TGTTACAGACAACTTTTCTATAGAAAATGTTGCTCTGTTACAGACAACTTTTCTATAGAAAATGTTGCTCTGTTACAGACAACTTTTCTATAGAAAATGTTGCTCTGTTTCAGACAACTTTTCTATAGAAGATGTTGCTCTGTTTCAGACAACTTTTCTATAGAAAATGTTGCTCTGTTTCAGACAACTTTTCTATAGAAAATGTTGCTCTGTTTCAGACAACTTTTCTATAGAAAATGTTGCTCTGTTTCAGACAACTTTTCTATAGAAAATGTTGCTCTGTTTCAGACAACTCCTTTTGAGACAACTTTTTCTATAGAAAAGAGTAACTTTTTCTATAGAATTGTTTTCTGAAACCGAGCAACTTTTTCTATAGAAAAGTTGTCTGAAACAGAGCAAAAGTTGTCTAAAACAGAGCAACTTTTTCTATAGAAAAGTTGTCTAAAACAGAGCAACTTTTTCTATAGAAAAGTTTTCTGAAACGGTTTTAGACAACTTTTCTATAGAACAAGTTGCTCTGTTTCAGACAACTTTTCTATAGAACAAGTTGCTCTGTTTCAGACAACTTTTCTATAGAAAAACTTGCTCCATTTCAGACAACTTTTCTATAGAAAAAGTTGCTCCGCTTCAGACAACTTTTCTATAGAAAAAGTTGATATGTTTCAGACAACTTTTCTATAGAAAAAGTTGCTCTGTTTTAGACAACTTTTGCTCTGTTTCAGACAACTTTTCTATAGAAAAAGTTGCTCGGTTACAGACAACTTTTATATAGAAAAAATTGCTCTGTTACAGACAACTTTTATATAGAAAAAGTTGCTTTGTTTTAAACAGCTTTTCTATAGAAAAAGTTGTTCTGATTTCCTAAACAAAGTTTTGTTTGATACAATTAATACTTTTAATTGACCTAAAAACGAAAACTATTCAATACATTTCGGCTCAAAACAACAGTAATAAAAAACAACAAATATTTTTAAATAAAAAAACTTGTTTAAAGCCTTGAAACAGATAAATAAATAAAAATCAATGTTAAAAAAGTCATTGTCCCAAACACTTAAAAAAAATGTTGCCAATTAAACCACACCTCCTCCAAAATATATAAAAATTGTTAAAAAAAAATAAATAAAACTGTTAAAGAAAATAAAAAATAAATGTTAAATGTTTGTTACAAATAACCATATAAAAATAATATATTAAATATTTAAATGTGTTTAAGTTTCAATAATTAAAAAGAAAAAAATATATGAAAAATAAAAAAAAACTTATAATTTCCTTTAATACCAAAAAGTAAGTCTAATCTTAAAAAGAAAAGATTTGCCGTAAATCGGTCACGGGGACCACGATGAATATTGATAAAAAAATTCAAGTAAAATAACTGTGTTTTAACTGAAAATAAATAAATTAATTAATTATATGTAACTAAATAAAATCTAAAGAATTTTAGAATATCTAGTATCTAATCTACATGCATAGATAGTTTTAAAATATACAACAGATAAAGATTATTTAAAATGTATAAGAGATAAAACAAATAAATAATTAAATCTATATATATTATTCTATGTATACAAAATAAAATAAAATATTTATTAAGATATTTTTAAAATAAACAGAAATTTACACACATATTTATTAAAGAAAAACTAAATTAAAATAAAATGAAATAAACTTTTCAACATTTTGCACAAAATCATTACAGAGAATTTAATTACCAATTGGATATTCATGTTATTTAATTTGTAATAGTCAAATATAAATTTATATTTATTGTTATTTTAAAAATAACTTCTTACATAATTATTCAATTATAGTTTGAATTAAAATATTTCTTTTTTAAATAACTATTTTATGTTTTAAAAACAATAATAAATAAAAATAAGGTGATCTTCAATATAAAAATGTATGAAACTTACAAATCATTTCATTTAAAAACTAAGCTTCTGTTAAAGATAACTTTCCTACAGAAAAAGTTGCTCTGATACAGACAATTTTTCCATTGAAAAAGTTGGTTTGATTCAGACAACATTTCTATTGAAAATGTGACTTTGTTTCAGACAACTTTTCTATAGAAATGTGGCTTTGTTTCAAACTACTTTTCTATAGAAAATGTTGCTATGAAACAGACAACTTTTCTATAGGAAATGTTGCTCTCATACAGACAACTTTTCTATAGGAAATGTTGCTCTCATACAGACAACTTTTCTATAGAAATGTGGCTTTGTTTCAAACTACTTTTCTATAGAAAATGTTGCTCTGAAAGATACAACTTTTCTATAGGAAATGTTGCTCTCATACAGACAACTTTTCTATAGAAAAAGTTGATCTGTTACAGACAACTTTTCTATAGAAAAAGTTGATCTGCTACAGACAACTTTTCTATAGAAAAAGTTGATCTGTTACAGACAACTTTTCTATAGAAATAGTTGATCTGTTACAGACAACTTTTCTATAGAAAAAGTTGATCTGTTACAGACAACTTTTCTATAGAAATAGTTGATCTGTTACAGACAACTTTTCTATAGAAAAAGTTGATCTGTTACAGACAACTTTTCTATAGAAAAAGTTGATCTGTTACAGACAACTTTTCTATAGACAAAGTTGATCTGTTACAGACAACTTTTCTATAGAAAAAGTTGATCTGTTACAGACAACTTTTCTATAGAAAAAATTGATCTGTTACAGACAACTTTTCTATAGAAAAAATTGATCTGTTACAGACAACTTTTCTATAGAAAAAATTGATCTGTTACAGACAACTTTTCTATAGAAAAAATTGATCTGTTACAGACAACTTTTCTATAGAAAAAATTGATCTGTTACAGACAACTTTTCTATAGAAAAAGTTGATCTGTTACAGACAACTTTTCTATAGAAAAAGTTGATCTGTTACAGACAACTTTTCTATAGAAAAAGTTGATCTGTTACAGACAACTTTTCTATAGAAAAAGTTGATCTGTTACAGACAACTTTTCTATAGAAAAAGTTGATCTGTTACAGACAACTTTTCTATAGAAAAAGTTGATCTGTTACAGACAACTTTTCTATAGAAAAAGTTGATCTGTTACAGACAACTTTTCTATAGAAAAAGTTGATCTGTTACAGACAACTTTTCTATAGAAAAAGTTGATCTGTTACAGACAACTTTTCTATAGAAAAAGTTGATCTGTTACAGACAACTTTTCTATAGAAAAAGTTGATCTGTTACAGACAACTTTTCTATAGAAAAAGTTGATCTGTTACAGACAACTTTTCTATAGAAAAAGTTGATCTGTTACAGACAACTTTTCTATAGAAATAGTTGATCTGTTACAGACAACTTTTCTATAGAAAAAGTTGATCTGTTACAGACAACTTTTCTATAGAAATAGTTGATCTGTTACAGACAACTTTTCTATAGAAATAGTTGATCTGTTACAGACAACTTTTCTATAGAAAAGTTGATCTGTTACAGACAACTTTTCTATAGAAAAAGTTGATCTGTTACAGACAACTTTTCTATAGAAAAAGTTGATCTGTTACAGACAACTTTTCTATAGAAAAAGTTGATCTGTTACAGACAACTTTTCTATAGAAAAAGTTGATCTGTTACAGACAACTTTTCTATAGAAAAAGTTGATCTGTTACAGACAACTTTTCTATAGAAAAAGTTGATCTGTTACAGACAACTTTTCTATAGAAATAGTTGATCTGTTACAGACAACTTTTCTATAGAAATAGTTGATCTGTTACAGACAACTTTTCTATAGAAATAGTTGATCTGTTACAGACAACTTTTCTATAGAAAAAGTTGATCTGTTACAGACAACTTTTCTATAGAAAAAGTTGATCTGTTACAGACAACTTTTCTATAGAAAAAGTTGATCTGTTACAGACAACTTTTCTATAGAAAAAGTTGATCTGTTACAGACAACTTTTCTATAGAAAAAGTTGATCTGTTACAGACAACTTTTCTCAAAAAAAGTTGCTCTGTTACAGACAACTTTTCTCAAAAAAAGTTGCTCTGTTACAGACAACTTTTCTCAAAAAAAAGTTGCTCTGTTACAGACAACTTTTCTCAAAAAAAAAGTTGCTCTGTTACAGACAACTTTTCTCAAAAAAAAGTTGCTCTGTTACAGACAACTTTTCTCAAAAAAAAGTTGCTCTGTTACAGACAACTTTTCTCAAAAAAAGGTTGCTCTGTTTCAGACAACAATTTTATATTGTCTATCACCATAAATCGTTGAAATTATTTGAAATTAATAAAAAAAAAAAACTAAAAAAAAAATAAATAAATCATTTTTCATTAAATATTTGTATTATCTAAGATAATTATTGTAAATTTTCAATCATTGTTTTTATGTGTTAAAATACATACAAAAAGTATAAATAAATGTTTGTTGGAAAAATTTATAAGAAAAAAATCTATTAAAAAAATAAATAATAAAAGAAGAAAACAATATGAATAATATGCACAATTAATAGTTGTTTTAAACAGAAACAGTAAATTAATTAATATTGATAATAAAACAAATTAAGATTTTATGTAAGAAAAAAATAAAACATTTTAATTGTTGACAGCACTGAATTTTAAATAAAAATTAAAAAGATATTCAATTTTAATTGTAAGTTTTATGTTTTCAGAGATAAAAAATATAAAATAAAAAAACAATAAATCTAAAAAAAAGAATAAATAAAAAATAATTGTATTAAATGAACAAAAAAAAAATGAGAAAAGAAAAAACTCAAAGGTTTTTTATTTAAAATTTAGAAGTGTTTTAAGTCTTACTCTTACGCTGACCCAAGCCTTAATGTTTGCCCTTTAAAGATTTTAAAATAAATTAACATTTTATACTTAATAATTCAATCTTTATTTAAACATAAACATTATGACTTACAAAAAAAATCTACTTTTTATACAAAATTGTTTTCTGAAATCAAAATGTATAACAAATTTACAATAATTAAAAAGAAAATCTCAGGGGAATTTTTATAGTTAAACTATCGAAATGCAACAGGGTTATATATTTTTTTGATACATATAAAAAATTCCAAGCTTTTATAAAGCTTTTATATTTAATATTAATTATGGATTCCATAAATTTACATGCCATTGTAAGCAGGGCCGCCGCCACCCTCGGGTACAACCCAGTTAATGTTTTGTTGTGGATCCTTAATATCACAGGTCTTGCAATGAATACAATTTTGGGCATTAATTTGCAATTTCATATTGCCACCCTCTTCATTGGGTACATATTCATAAACACCGGCGGGACAGAAACGTTGTTCGGGACCCTCGTATAAAGCCAAATTATGATCAACTGGTATGCGATCATCTTTCAAGGTTAAATGGGCTGGTTGATCACCTTCATGATTTGTACCGGTTAAAGCCACGGAGGACAATAAATCGAAAGAGATTTTGTTATCGGGTTTGGGATAAACAATTTGTTGACATTGACTGGCAGGTTTGAGTGTTTTATTATCGGGAGGACCATGTTTAAGAGTCCAGGGTTCACGACCACCCATGAAAATGGAGAAACCACTAAGTAGTAAACCACCATACATGCCCAAAGGATTGTGGAAACTAGGACGGACATTACGTACACTGTGCAAATCCTTCCAGATAAAAGAGTCTTTGATTCTGAAAAGATAACAAAAATAAAATTAATTTAGTTTTGAAAAATTTTACTTTGAGGAAAACTCACTTGTCTGGATAGGATTTGGGAGTAAAACCGGCAGTTTCTTGAGCTTCTCCCATGATAGCTTCGTAGGCACTTTCAGCAGCCAACATACCTTAAGAGATTTTCATTATTAGTATAAATAAAAACAATTTACAGCAGGCGTGGAAAATTCAGAATAGTCCAGGAACTAGTCCATAGACTGGTCATGAGACCAGTAGATAGACTGATCAAGAGACAGATCCATACAGTAGTCAATAGACTCATCCATAGACTAGTCAACTGTCAACAGAGTGTTCCACAGATTGACCGACAGACTAGTTCTTGTTTCATAGACTAGTCAATCGAATAGTCCATAGACTAGTTAACATACTAGTCAACAGACTCAGTTCTAGTTCAGTTTATGTTCCACTCTAGTTCAGTTCCCTTATGCTTCTAGTTAAGTTCTAGTTCAGTTCTAGTTCAGTTCTAGTACAGTTCTAGTTCAGTTGTAGTTCAGTTCTAGTTCAGTTGTAGTTCAGTTCTAGTTCAGTTCTAGTTCAGTTCTAGTTCAGTTCTAGTTCAGTTCTAGTTCAGTCCTAGTTCAGTTTAGTTCAGTTCTAGTTCAGTCCTAGTTCAGTTCTAGTTCAGTTCTAGTTCAGTTCTAGTTCAGTTCTAGTTCAGTTCTAGTTCAGTTCTAGTTCAGTTCTAGTTCAGTTCTAGTTCAGTTCTAGTTCAGTTCTAGTTCAGTTCTAGTTCAGTTCTAGTTCAGTTCTAGTTCAGTTCTAGTTCAGTTCTAGTTCAGTTCTAGTTCAGTTCTAGTTCAGTTCTAGTTCAGTTTTAGTTCAGTTCTAGTTCAGTTCTAGTTCAGTTCTAGTTCAGTTCTAGTTCAGTTTAGTTCAGTTTCTTCAGTTCTAGTTCAGTTCTAGTTCAGTTCTAGTTCAGTTCTAGTTCAGTTCTAGTTCAGTTCTAGTTCAGTTCTAGTTCAGTTCTAGTTCAGTTCTAGTTCAGTTCTAGTTCAGTTCTAGTTCAGTTCTAGTTCAGTTCTAGTTCAGTTCTAGTTCAGTTCTAGTTCAGTTCTAGTTCAGTTCTAGTTCAGTTCTAGTTCAGTTCTAGTTCAGTTCTAGTTCAGTTCTAGTTCAGTTCTAGTTCAGTTCTAGTTCAGTTCTAGTTCAGTTCTAGTTCAGTTCTAGTTCAGTTCTAGTTCAGTTCTAGTTCAGTTCTAGTTCAGTTCTAGTTCAGTTCTAGTTCAGTTCTAGTTCAGTTCTAGTTCAGTTCTAGTTCAGTTCTAGTTCAGTTCTAGTTCAGTTCTAGTTCAGTTCTAGTTCAGTTCTAGTTCAGTTCTAGTTCAGTTCTAGTTCTAGTTCAGTTCTAGTTCAGTTCTAGTTCAGTTCTAGTTCAGTTCTAGTTCAGTTCTAGTTCAGTTCTAGTTCAGTTCTAGTTCAGTTCTAGTTCAGTTCTAGTTCAGTTCTAGTTCAGTTCTAGTTCAGTTCTAGTTCAGTTCTAGTTCAGTTCTAGTTCAGTTCTAGTTCAGTTCTAGTTCAGTTCTAGTTCAGTTCTAGTTCAGTTCTAGTTCAGTTCTAGTTCAGTTCTAGTTCAGTTCTAGTTCAGTTCTAGTTCAGTTCTAGTTCAGTTCTAGTTCAGTTCTAGTTCAGTTCTAGTTCAGTTCTAGTTCAGTTCTAGTTCAGTTCTAGTTCAGTTCTAGTTCAGTTCTAGTTCAGTTCTAGTTCAGTTCTAGTTCAGTTCTAGTTCAGTTCTAGTTCAGTTCTAGTTCAGTTTAGTTCAGTTCTAGTTCAGTTCTAGTTCAGTTCTAGTTCAGTTCTAGTTCAGTTCTAGTTCAGTTCTAGTTCAGTTCTAGTTCAGTTCTAGTTCAGTTCTAGTTCAGTTTTAGTTCAGTTTTAGTTCAGGTTTCTAGTTCAGTTCTAGTTCAGTTCTGTCAGTCTAGTTCAGTTCTAGTTCAGTTCTAGTTCAGTTCTAGTTCAGTTCTAGTTCAGTTTCTAGTTCAGTTCTAGTTCAGTTCTAGTTCAGTTCTAGTTCAGTTCTAGTTCAGTTCTAGTTCAGTTCTAGTTCAGTTCTAGTTCAGTTCTAGTTCAGTTCTAGTTCAGTTCTAGTTCAGTTCTAGTTCAGTTCTAGTTCTAGTTCAGTTCTAGTTCAGTTCTAGTTCAGTTCTAGTTCAGTTCTAGTTCAGTTCTAGTTCAGTTCTAGTTCAGTTCTAGTTCAGTTCTAGTTCAGTTCTAGTTCAGTTCTAGTTCAGTTCTAGTTCAGTTCTAGTTCAGTTCTAGTTCAGTTCTAGTTCAGTTATAGTTCAGTTCTAGTTCAGTTCTAGTTCAGTTCTAGTTCAGTTCTAGTTCAGTTCTAGTTCAGTTCTAGTTCAGTTCTAGTTCAGTTCTAGTTCAGTTCTAGTTCAGTTCTAGTTCAGTTCTAGTTCAGTTCTAGTTCAGTTCTAGTTCAGTTCTAGTTCAGTTCTAGTTCAGTTCTAGTTCAGTTCTAGTCAGTTCTAGTTCAGTTCTAGTTCAGTTCTAGTTCAGTTCTAGTTCAGTTCTAGTTCAGTTCTAGTTCAGTTCTAGTTCAGTTCTAGTTCAGTTCTAGTTCAGTTCTAGTTCAGTTCTAGTTCAGTTCTAGTTCAGTTCTAGTTCAGTTCTAGTTCAGTTCTAGTTCAGTTCTAGTTCAGTTCTAGTTCAGTTCTAGTTCAGTTCTAGTTCAGTTCTAGTTCAGTTCTAGTTCAGTTCTAGTTCAGTTCTAGTTCAGTTCTAGTTCAGTTCTAGTTCAGTTCTAGTTCAGTTCTAGTTCAGTTCTAGTTCAGTTCTAGTTCAGTTCTAGTTCAGTTCTAGTTCAGTTCTAGTTCAGTTCTAGTTCAGTTCTAGTTCAGTTCTAGTTCAGTTCTAGTTCAGTTCTAGTTCAGTTCTAGTTCAGTTCTAGTTCAGTTCTAGTCAGTTCTAGTTCAGTTCTAGTTCAGTTCTAGTTCAGTTCTAGTTCAGTTCTAGTTCAGTTCTAGTTCAGTTCTAGTTCAGTTCTAGTTCAGTTCTAGTTTCAGTTCTAGTTCAGTTCTAGTTCAGTTCTAGTTCAGTTCTAGTTCAGTTCTAGTTCAGTTCTAGTTCAGTTCTAGTTCAGTTCTAGTTCAGTTCTAGTTCAGTTCTAGTTCAGTTCTAGTTCAGTTCTAGTTCAGTTCTAGTCTCAGTTCTAGTTTCAGTTCTAGTTCAGTTCTAGTTCAGTTCTAGTTCAGTTCTAGTTCAGTTCTAGTTCAGTTCTAGTTCAGTTCTAGTTCAGTTCTAGTTCAGTTCTAGTTCAGTTCTAGTTCAGTTCTAGTTCGTCTAGTTCAGTTCTAGTTCAGTTCTATTCAGTTCTAGTTCAGTTCTAGTTCAGTTCTAGTTCAGTTCTAGTTCAGTTCTAGTTCAGTTCTAGTTCAGTTCTAGTTCAGTTCTAGTTCAGTTCTAGTTCAGTTCTAGTTCAGTTCTAGTTCAGTTCTAGTTCAGTTTTAGTTCAGTTTCCGTTCAGTTCTAGTTCAGTTCTAGTTCAGTTCTAGTTCAGTTCTAGTTCAGTTCTAGTTCAGTTCTAGTTTCAGTCTAGTTCAGTTTCTAGTTCAGTTCTAGTCAGTTTCTAGTTCAGTTCTAGTTCAGTTCTAGTTCAGTCTAGTTCAGTTTATAGTTCAGGTTCTAGTCAGTTCTAGTTCAGTTCTAGTTCAGTTCTAGTCAGTTCTAGTTCAGTTCTAGTTCAGTTCTAGTTCAGTTCTAGTTCAGTTCTAATCAACAAATAGTCAGTCAACAGGCTAGTCCACTAGTGCATAGATTGGTCATGAGATTATACCATAGACTAGTCTACAGACTAGTCCACAGAAACGTTGAAAATTTACAACAATTTAGTTCTTTAATCCAAAAAAGTACCCTTTTTGTGAGAAAATTTAGAACCATTTAAATATTTGAATCTTCCAAGCTGATTTACAGGCCATTTTCCTACTTACCACTCTTCATGGCATAATGGGAACCCTTAATCCTAGGCACATTAAGGAAACCAGCACTGCAGCCTATCAAACAACCACCAGGAATGTTAACTTACTGGGCAAACTCTGTATGCCACCCTCGTTAATGGCACGAGCACCATAGGCAATGCGCGTAGCACCCTCAAAGGTGTCTCTAACCTTAGGATGAGTCTTGAAACGTTGAAATTCTTGGAAGGGACTAATCCAAGGATTTTGATAATCTAAACCTACTACAAAACCTACAGCTATGGTAGGTGTAGGTTCATTTAAATGATATAAAAAGGAACCACCATAGGTGAACTTATCCAAGGGCCAACCAATTGTGTGTTCAACCAAACCGGGTCTAAAATTGCACAGTATTATAAAGAAAATATATTCCATTTTTTTCTAAGCAAACACTTACTGATGTTTTTCTGGTTGAATTTCCCAAATTTCCTTTAAACCAATGCCATAGGTTTGTGGCAAACTGCCCTCATTCATATTGAATTGACGCATAATTTGTTTGCTCAAATGACCACGACAACCTTCGGCGAAGATGGTGGTCTTAGCATGCAATTCCATGCCACGAGCAAAGGTGTCCTTAGGTGAACCATCCTTGGCAATACCCACATCATTGGTAGCAATACCCTTAACACTGCCATCTTCATGGAAGAGTACCTCAGAGGCGGCACAGCCGGGATAGATTTCCACACCCAAAGCCTCAGCCTGTTCACCCAACCACTTGACTAAGTGGCCCAAACGTACAACATAGTTGCCATGATTATCCATAGGCCAACCCTTGAAAATGGGTATAGGAATGCGACCGGTTTGTGTCAACAACGAAAAGGTATCCTTTGCAACTGGGGTATTTAGGGGAGCACCCAATTCTTTCCAATCCGGTATAAGCTGATCCAAAGAAATGGGATCAATAACAGCACCTGACAAAATATGACCACCAACTTCTGCGGATTTTTCTACCACACAAACACGTATTTCTTTTTCCTGTTCAGCAGCCAATTGTTTAGCTCTAATGGCAGCCGACATGCCAGCTGGGCCACCACCCACTATAACAATATCCACTTCATCTACGAAACGTTCCATATCGACTTCTGCAAGTTGTTTAAAATAGTAATTATGTTT